TTCTTCCCCAAAAGAATACTGAGTAAAAAAACAACTCTAATTTGATCTAAATTTCATCAGCAAAGTAATCCAAGCAATGACATACTGGAGAGCATTTTATTCTTGCTTTTAACTTTAGCTTGCAAAGGGGAATGCTGCATTTGAAGGGTCGTAATATTAGAGCACAACCATTTTGAAAAGAGAGAAAGAGGAGGGAGGGAGGGAGAGAGAGATGCTTCTTTATCATGAGATGAATATTATTTTTGTCCATAACAAATGTATGCAAATTGACCTGATAGACTGAAACTCAAATGATTAAGTGATTCATATTTCTTTAATTGGGTTGAAGCCCCTTGTGGCTGCTTCAAACACAATCTTTTTCCAGAGTTGGTTCCCCCCCATCTGTGTGAGAGCTGCTGAAACAAACTCTATGTGAGTCGTTTTTTACAGGGGTTCTGTTCTAACCATTTTGTTTCCTTGAAGGAAACTCTTGCTTGTTCATCAAATCTTCATGCAGCATTTCTGCATCACACTGACTGCCTCAGGCAGTGTAACCTTTATTATTTTTTTTGCCCATTCAGATTAGCAAGAGGATGTCTGCCGAGAGCAAAATGAATATTAAACCTTCTCTGAAAAGTTCCATCCAGAACCTTGATTTTTTTTTACAAAGAAGCAGCTGATGCTTTTTTTTTTTTTTTGCAAAACTTCTCATACTTTATAGGGTTTGTCAACTGATTTGGAGGCATCTTTGTTAATTAAGCAGAGGAGTTTAATAGATTAATTCATTGCCCGACATCTACATATGCTGGTAACCTACAAACAGGACCGGCGCCTGGAGTCATATATCTCAGTTATTATAAGCCGTAAGGTAGCGGTTCACTGGGTTTGAGGATAACGTATTTTGCCTATAAGACAGTGTGGTTTGGAAAAAGTTCATTGGGTGATGCACATTCACAGCTAGTTTTCTTCTTCTTTTCTTCTCCTTCTCTTCTTCTTCTTCCTCCTCTCCTTCTCCTTCTTCCATGTCTAGATCAAACTTTAAACTGCCAGAAAGAAGCCACATTCTTGGCTTTGTCATTGGCCAAAAATAAGTCATTATCGGTACATGTTTCTCATAGTAGCCGACATACCAGCAGATGGGCTGGGCTCTGAGTATCTCCACATTCACACAGCATGTTGTTATCCATTAAGAACTTCCACTTCAGCATGTTGGTTTTACATTTAGGCACTCCAACCCTCAGCCTATTCAGGGTCCTCCAGGTATTATGAGAATTCAGATCCTTCAGTCAGATCCTCCTTTAATGTTATTCCTTGCTCAATGGTCTCCTTCCTCCATCTTTGAATTCAATTTTGTTCTTGTGTACCCTCAAGAATGTCTGTTGGTGCCATAAAGCTGTTCCTAGCTCTTGGCTTGGGGGACATGTCCGTTCAGAGGATGTTGGGGATCATTCTCTTGTTTAGTTCTCTCTCGTTGACTGGGGGAATAAACCACACAACACAAACCGTGCTAGCGTGAGGAGTGAGACAGTGGGATTTTTTTACGAGAGTTTTGCATGCACAAGAAGAAACAAAGGAATGGAAGAATGCACGTCTTCTCTGCTTGCTCTGTGTTTTTTTTAAAGGTCCTGTTAGCCCTTGACTTACAATCGTTTGCTTAGCAACCGCTGAAAGTTATGACACTGAAAAAAAGTGATTTACGAATGGTTTTTGCATGTTGCAGCATCCCGACGTTATTTTAGGATCCAAATTTGGGCACTTGGCAACCAAGCATGTATTTATGACAGATGTCCGAAATTTATATTGCTAAGTGTGATAGTCGTTAGGTGAGTTTTGCCGCATTTTATGAGCTTTCTTGCCACAGCTATTAAGTGAAGCACTGCAGTTGTTAAATTAGTAACACTGTTAAGTGGATCTGGCTTCCCCCTTGACTTTGCTTGTCAGATGATCGCAAAAGGGGATCACATGACCCCCTCATAAACATGAATCAGTTGCAACCGTCATAAACATGAATCAATTGCTAAGCATCCACATTTTGATTATGTGACCATGGGGATGCTGCAACAGTCATAAGTGTGAAAAACAGTCATAACTCACATTTTTCAGTGCCATGTAACTTTGAACTATCACTAAATAAACGTTTGTAATCAAGGAGCACCTGTATTTGGAAGGATTATCCTTCCAAATCAAACCAAACTGGGTTCTTTGAATCGGTTTGATAATGGAATGCGATCCAAAGGGATACGCCAAATTCATGCCTTTATCAAACTGAGCCTATTTTAGGCAAATATCGGCTGCTTTAAAGGAGGCAATTATTTTCTGCCAAGGAAAAAACTGGTGGAGGCCTCCATCTAGTGGTGTCTTTTATTTCCCATCATATATCAGAAACTAATCAGGCTGGCATCTCGTAACTGGTACCCACCAGAGATCCAGGGCCTATAAGAGTAATGATTGGCAAGGCAATAAGTCTACTGATTTGTGACAGTAAGTCTACTGATACAGTCTGAACGATCATGTGGTTTAATTAGCATGAGCTTAAATGTGTTTTTTGTCAATCCAGGCATGCATAAACTGTAAGCTGTGATACAGTGTTGTGTCAACCAGGCTATTCAGCTTGTTCTAAAAATCTTGATTAAAGCACCTTATTGTTTAGGGCAATGTTTTTTAACTTTAGCAACTTGAAGATATGTGGACTTCAACTCCCAGCCAGCTTTGCTAGATGGGGAATTCTTGGAGTTGAAACCCATACATCTTGAATTTGTCAAGCTTGAGAAACACGGATTTAGGGCAAAAAGTGACCTATAACAGCGAAAATGTAATTATGTAGCAGTACATCACTAAGAAAAGCAGAAGAAAAGCACCTTTTTGATGTCTTTCTTCGTAAAAGCTACTCAAAAAGCTTCATACTCCAACATACGTCGGCCAGACCCCGTCGCACCACACAATCAGTCACAGCATGGAAACAAACCTTGTCATATGTCAAAGGAGTGTCAGAAATGGTGGCCCGAATTCTATAACCTCTGGGAATAATGGCGACCCACAAACCAACATCAACACTGATGAGAGCTGTCCAAAACCAAAGACAAAGTACAGAAACGAGAGAACAACAACATAATCTGCAAGATCAAATGCAACAACTGCAACCCATTCTACGTCAGACAAACAGGACAACCGAGCCCAAGAAGCCACAAAGACTGACCAGTGACCACAAATCCCTGATCTCGACTCACATCGACACCGAACAACATCAGTTCGACTGAGACAGAACAAAAATCGTTGGTCCTGTTACTAAACACCACACATGCAAATTTGTCGAAAGACGATATTCAATGAACGACGGAACAATCAAGAAACACATCGATCTGCAACCAGCCTACGAGTCTATAAGAAGTCAGATCAATCGAGCAACCAACCAATGACGGCGTTGACCAGCAGCCAGCTCGCATGGCCTCCAGGCAGGATCTCACCACCAGGTGACCCTCACCTGGCGCACCCGGTCAGTCACGTGACCAAATGACCCCCTAAGACCTATACAATTCATTTAGTGACCGTTGAAAGGTACAACGGCACTGATAAAAGTGACTTGGGACCATTTTTTCACACTTTACGACCGTTCCATTATCCCCCCGGTCACCTGATCAAAAATTCAGACACTTGGCAACTTGACTTGTATTTATGACAGTTGCAGGGTCACACAATCCCCTTTTGCGACCTTCTGACAAGCCAAGTAAACGGGGGAAGCCGGATTGACTTCACAACCGCGTTACTAGCTCAACAGCTGCAGTGATTCACTTAAGAACCGTAGAAAGGGTGTAAAATGGGGAAAAACTGACTTAACAACCATCTCGCTTAGCAACAGAAAATTTGGGCTCAGTTGTGGTCGTAAGTCCAGAGCGGACCCCTATTAGACATTAATGTGCTAGCTAGAATATTCTTCCCCTCAGAATCAGCACTTAAACGCAGAAATATTCTTTCTTCTTGGGGCCCGGTCTGGCATTTTCATTTTTTTCCCTTAACCGTTTCTTCTTTCTTCCCCAGAGGTTCTTATAAACTGGAGTTTCATGGGCCTGGCTCCTGTTTTATCGGCCGAGAAGAATAATTCTGAATAAATTGTGGCCATAAGTCGAGGACCGCCCGCACACGCAGAAGAGAACCGGGCCAAGACGCCACAAGCGCCGAGCAGGCTGCCCGGCCTGGTGAAGAAACGTTCCGAAATTAAAGAACGAGCCACCCTCATCCTCCACACCACCCCGGCTGCAAACATCTTCCCGCCATTTCGAAATGGTAATTAATTTGCGGGGAGGGGATCCTTCAGGCGTGAGGAATAGCCTCCGCCAACCGGCGCCAAGGACGGTGGGATATGTAGTTCCATCCCACCAGCCGAGGGAGGGAAACTGCTTTATCCGCCCTGGCAAAGCAGCGCCTCCTCTTCTGGTCCACCAATCAACGTCTCGTTTTGTTCAGCCCGAACGATTTCATTGGCTAATCACCCCTCTCTCTGCCCCCCCGGCCTCTGGTAAGTGGTGGCACGATTGGTGGCCTTCTCTCCAAATGGGCAGCTGCGCCATCCAATGCGGATGCCCCGGTGGGCGACGCCGGGCTCCGCCCCTTAGCAACGGGGGCCGCGGCCTCCCCAACCGCTCGTGGAGGCTGCCGCGGAAGTCACAAAAGCGGCTGAGACGAGGGGCGGGGCTGAGGCAGGGACTGGCCAATCGCCGCGTCCCCTCCCTGCCAAAGAGCCTCGGCCGAGATCATCGGGAGCAGTCCAGATGGGGGTGGCGAGGCAGGCAGGGCGCCAGCGGGGCCGGTCAAGGTGAGTGTCAGGCCGCGGCGACGGTTTGGGGGAGGCCAGGCCGCGAGCGGAGGCAGGGCGCGGTAGGAGGGCGCCGGCGCAGCCGGCGCATGCGCACCCAGGCTTGCGCGACGGTGCCCGGCGAGGGCCAAACTTCCCCCGCCCTTCCATCGGGAGCGGGCGCGCGTTCGTTCGCGCTGACAGCCAGCCGGCCTGCGCGGATGCGGCGCCGAGGCTCTGCGCCCCCCAGGCTGAAGGTGCGCGGAGGGGCCCCGCCGGGGGGCTCGGGGGGCGGGCGGGCGGGCGGGCGGCGGCGGGCTGAGGGGGGAGAAGCGCCGGGCCCGGCTGGGCTGGCCGGCGTCTGGCAGGCTGCCCTTCGCCAGGTCGGGTTGCTGGCGTCCAGCTTCACCTGGCGGACTTCCAGGGCGGGCGGGGTGGAGGAGCGGCGGCGGCAGCAGGGCCTGCCTGCCCGCGGCCTCCATGGGCAGCCCGGGAGGGCGACCGGCCACGCTCCGCGCCTGGCAGGCGGCGGTTCGCCCGGTGAAGCGCTGCCTGGCAAGGGAGGAGAAGGGCCGGGGGGGGGAAGGGGTTCACCTGTTGAGCGTCTGCCTGCCCTGAGGGTGAGGCTCCTGCTGAACCTTCAGACGTTCTCCAGGCGAAGCTGCTGCTTCTCTCCCTTGACAGGAGCTGCTTATTCTCCCTCCCCCCCTCTCATGTGTGTGTGTGTGTGTGTGTGTATGTATATGTAAATAGAGAGGATATATCTATATATCTCCTCTCTATATCTCTCATGTATATGTACATATCTGCGCGTGTATATACATAGTGTGTGTATATGTGTATATATACATATATGTGTATATATATACACACAGAGAGACACACACACATACAGATACATATACACACACATATACACATATATATATATGAGTGCTTTTTTTTTTTTTTATACATATACACACAGAGAGACATATATGTAGGAGAGAGAGATACGCACACGGAGGATACAAATATAATAGATATAAATAACATCATAACCACCCAGCATGTGTGTGTGTGTGTACTGTATGTATATATATGTGATGTGTATGTATGTATATGCATTTATACACAACAGCCTTGTTAGGTGGGTTAGGCTGAGAGAGAGAAACTCGCCCAAAGCCACACCTTACAGGGAATGTATTATTATAATGTGGTTATGAACTATTATTATTATTATGTTTCGGGGCAGAGTCAGCCAAAATATTAGGAGTAAACTGTAGCTAGATTTACAATCTCAGGCTGCTGAAAACTTAATAATTGAAGTCCTGACGCAGGACCTAAGGCTTATTAAGCTAGTGCCCAAGGATATAAGAAATTCTAAAAAGGGTGTGTGTGTATGTGGGGGGGGGGGTTGGTGGTTGTAGGTCTGATAAATTCAAAATGTTCAAATATTGAAGGAGTCCTTTAGCTGTTGCCTAGAGGACTGTAGTTATGATGGGTATAACAGATTATTATGTCATAGTTGGTCACACAATCAGCCAGATATTTAGTCTGGATTTGGTGTTTTTTTTTCCACCTATGGAGTGTTGTTATATTTTTACCCACTTTCTAAATTAATTTTGATTTTATTTATTAAGAAAATGTATAGGGCGGCCCAACTCACTCGCCCTATCAACAACCCTGTGAGGTGGGCTGAGCCGAGAGTGAGAGAGAGAGCAGCTGATCCAAAATCACCCAACTGGCTTTCATGCTGACTGTCTCTTGGTTTCTAGCCAACCCCTTCATCAATGTATTGTGTGTTTGCCGTCTGTTATATGAGGGCAGGCAGGTTATTACAGCCCTCCCTGGCTAAACGTCAGAAATTGGACTTCAGAAAAGGACCCTCCTTTTTCCTCCTATTGGTATAAAGAGGAAGTGTCAAATGTCATTTGAAGTTCAGAAAGTTGATTTCTTTTCCTTTGGTTTATATGTACAAGTTAATCAGTCGTTGAGTTTTAATCATCTGTGGTTTATGGCCCTCCATTGTGACCTAGCCGTGGTTAAAACATTATTTATATATTATCTTTGTATCCTGCTGCAGTGCAAGGCCTCTTGGCGGCTTAAAAAGGTGATTTAGGGTTATTTTGATGCCCAATGGTTGAATGAGGAAGTTTATCTTTGCCAGTTAGGGATTTTCCACACTAATTCTGCTCCTGAGATGGACTTTGTACAAAAAAAAATGCTTTTAACTCCGGTATACTTCTTTCGGGTTTTAGACACCAGAGGAGTAATGTTAGCAAACAGGTGGCAAACTTGAGATTAGAAACAAACAAACAAAAAGATGCTGTGACATCAAACATTTAGCTAAACCAGCCTTTCCCATAGTTCCCACTTTAAATCATATAATCTCCAGCTGATTTAGCTTATAGAATAGATATTTCTGGGACTGGCTCTGGTTAAAAAAGAATGAGAACTGGTGCAAAGGGAGATTATTTCTTTAGAAGGTTTATAAAAAGCTTCGCCCTATAGGCTTTTAGGTTTATACAGGTAGTCCACAATTTATGGCCACAATTGAGCCTGCAATTTATGTTGCTAAGTGAGACAGTTGAGTTTTGCCCCATTTTACGGCCTTTCTCGTTCTGTGAATTGCTGCAGTTTGTTAAGTTAGTAACACGGTTGTTAAATGAATCTGGCTCCCCAATTGACTTGGCTTGTCAGAAGGTCGCAAAAGGGGATCACACGACCCCGGGACACTGCGACCGTCATAAGTATGAGTCAATTGCCAAAGCGGCTGAAATTTTGATCACATGTCCAGGGGGATACTACAGCGGTTGTAAGTATAAAAAACGGTCGTAAGTCACTTTTTCCAGTGCTGTTATAACCTTGAATGGTCCCTAAATGAACTGTTGTAAGTCGAGGGTTTACCTGTGTGGAGAGAGGGAGAAGGGTAAGAATTCCTGCTTAAGCATTATGGTAGACGACTTTTTCGGCTTGAAGCTTCCTGTAAAACTGCATCTTCCTGCAGCCAGCAGAAGAATTTCGCATGTAGAAATGGATTAGCACGTAAAATACAGTACATGTTTTGGGAAGGTGTAGAGAGTTGATGAGATTGTATAAAGTTCAGCAACAGTTATTTTCTTATTTTCTCCCAGTGCATTTCCTGTAGGCGTCTGGTTAGTTGCAGTGGAAAACCAAATAGATCTTTGGAATTTGGCCTTGCGGGGCTCTCCTTAAATCACTTCCTGATTTCTTGACTAAACATGTTTATGACGGCTTCTCTGGATTCTTCTGCAAGGCCATTCCTGGCTGCCCCTGACATTGTATATGACTTGATAGGCCTTATGGACAGGAAGAGCCAGACGGGGGTGGATTCTGTCTACTAAGGCAAGGACTTTTCTTGGACATAAAGAATAAGCTCACTGCTTAATCATAACCCTAGATCTGTAGTTCTGCATCTCTCTTTTTACAATAGATTTCCCCCCCGTCCTATTTCTAAACTCTTTCCTTTTTCTCTTGTCGATCGCCCCCCCTGGGATTTATCTCTTTGTGAAACCCTGAACTCTGTATCTGGACAGGACTGCTTCATCCAACACATTGCTGCTTCTATTTTGTGCGTCAGTCTTAAATTTGGTTGAAGTCGTGCACCTCCTTCTTAATCAGATAATTTGAGGATGGAGGAACAAAAATATCCACAGCCTTTCAGTGGCAATAGGAGCCACAGGAAGTCATTAGGTGTTCAGAAAAAGGTGTGCTGGCATTTACAACGGAGTGGGCAGACGAGTCTAACCTGCTGTTTGTTCCTTAGCTGGCCTATTTTTGTTTTACATGCTCTTTAGGTGAGATCACACCTCCTGAAGATGGTATTGGGTCCATGACTTCTGAATAACACAAATACATTCCAGGGAGAGGGCGGGGAAAACCACATTTATTTCTTCGTTATTAAAGATAATTAAAAACATGTTAGCAACAACAAAAAATTAGCCTCAACCAAATCTGCTGGAATCTGATTTCAGAAACCAGGATGTTAATGACTATGTGATACTTAAGTTCAATCCATCCTGCAAACTAAGCAAAATCCTTGTAGCATTTTTGCCATTCTGATACCTTTTTTGACAACATTTTATAAAGGCAGCCTCCTGTGATTCATGCAGGGAAGCATTGGCTTAGCATGCAAGCCTCTAGCTAAGCACATCTGGAATTTCTCTTTAGCTTTCAGTTTAGCTCTATTATTTTTTTAAATGATGGGAATCAATTCTGAAAAAAACATCCATGAAAAGGAAAATGCTGGGCATTGGATACTGATCCTACCTTTCCTGTAGTATTATATATACAGGCAATCCTTGACTTATGACCATGACTTATCTCCTTGACTTTATGTCTCATCTCCTGTTCCAGACTGTTGCAAGCGTCCCTCCTTAGCTGGCCAATTTTCTCCAGCAGCAATTTTGTTTCCAGCATATTTGTTGTATTTCCAAAAAGGGATTGGGAATGTGAGTTTGCCAAGAAAGCTAGCCGAGTTCTATTAATTCATATTCGTATGTTTGATGAGGTTCGTTCTGTGTGAAATGTTGGAGAGTTAAAGAGTTAAAACATATAAATATGTGGGCAATTAAACTAAGAATACCTCTCTTGATTAGAGCAATGGGGAACCGGGTCATTAACTTCACTTTCCTGCTTCCAGGTTAGAAAGTAACTGCAGAAAGTCGGACACTTGGGAAGTATAGTACAATTCCATCTGGTGTTTTGGGCTACACGTTATGAACCCTTTCTGGAGCATGTCTGCAAATTCTACGCGCAAGGTAGAGTATGTGCTATTTTTTTTGGTGCTTTCACCTCTCCTGAGCTATGTTGTTGTTGTTAATTGCGAAGTCGTGTCCGACCCATTGCGATCCCATGGACAACGTTCCTCCAGGCCTTCCTGTCCTCTACCATCTTCTGGAGTCCATTTAAGCTCACGCCTACTGCTTCAGTGACTCCATCCAGCCACCTCATTCTCTGTCGTCCCCTTCTTCTGTTGCCCTCCATCTTTCCCAGCATTAGGCCCTTCTCCAGGGAGTCCTTCCTTCTCATTAGGTGGCCAAAGTATTTGAGTTTCAACTTCAGGATCTGGCCTTCTAAAGAGCAGTCAAGGTTGATCTCCTCTAGGACTGACCGGTTTGATCGCCCTGCAGTCCAGGGGACTCGCAGGAGTCTTCTCCAGCACTAGAGTTCAAAGGCCTCCATTCTTTGTCGCTCAGCCTTTCTTATGGCCCAACTTTCATAGCCATACATTGCGACTGGAAACTGAGCTATAAACTTCAGTAATTTTAAAAATTGTAATTCCCATGTAATTAAGTAGAAACAATAATAATTAAAAAAACAGACTCTTCAATCCTATAATCCCAGAATGACCTTAAAGGAGAATGTGCTTCTTTGGGCTTTTCCCATCCTTTAGAACAGGGGTCTTCAAACTTGGCCCTTTTATGACTTGTGGACTTCAACTCCTGCTTTAGAACTAGGCAGGAGTTTTTTAAGAAAAAGGATCTGGGAAAGCAGATAGGTTGATAGCGACCTTCTTATTAAAAGTCGACTCGGGTGTCTTGTTTAGTTAACAGTCCTATATTTCGCCGTAGTTAGTGAATTTCTTTGATACAAGTCTTAGAATCGTTTGGGACAAGCTGGATGCAAATCTGCTCAATTGCTACGGGAGTGAGATTGAATGGGGTTCACTCCTGCTTTCCGGGTGCAACTGGAATTCGACTTTCCTGTTTTGCCTTCCTCCTGCAGAAACCGGAAACGGAAGAGAAGACTCTGGTTGGCGAGCTGAAGACTAGTCCTCCTCCACGCTCCGCTCCCAAGAAACAGCTGCCTTCTATTCCCAAAAATGTCCTGCCAATCACCAAGCCTGCTTCCCCTGCCCTGTCAGCTCAGTCTACAAATGGAACCCACGCCTCCTACGGACCTTTCTATTTGGAATATTCCCTGCTGGCAGAATAGTATGTCCGCCTTCCAAGGCAGCGTGCAGTTGTTACTTGGTTGCTTAATTTGTAACAGGATCATTTTTGTCTAGCAAGAAACACCCCATTGCTGAGTTTGCATGTTGCAGTCGCTTTAATAGTGGGTGAATCGGGGCAATTTCCCGGGGCTTGATTTTTCTCTCTGGAGTCGATGGGCAGATCTCTGAAGAGTTGGAAGACTTTCACGGAGTTCTCGAAAAGCCAGGGATCTGATAGATCAGCGATTGCTAACACTGCATTTTATTTTCGGGGTCCCCATCCGCCGGTTCAAGACCGACAAAGGGAAATTTCTCATGCTGCCCTTAGCTGCCCAAGATGCAGTTGGATAATTGTTAGGTTGAATCTCTGTTTTGCATTCGGCGGGGTTGGGATCAAAAAAGGTGGAAGTGAGACGAGGCAAATGAGCGAGCGTCCTAGGCAGATCTAATCTGGCTCGGATCTCCCTGCTCTCTCATCACTTCTGTTGGAAGGGCTGCAGGATAGTCCATAGTTTAGGGAAGGCTGCCCAGGATTGTTGAGAGTTGGGCAGCATACAATTTTAATAATAATAACCAACTCTCTTTAGCTTCCAGTGGGCGGATGTCCACTCCAGAAATGTCTCCTTCGAAAGATGTATAGCAAATCTCCTTCATCTGTTAGATTTATCTTCCAGAATTCAAGGCAGCACAGGGAAAAGTTGGATTGACTCAAAATTATACGTTCTCCAGGAAGGGAGGGAGCGCATGATCCGACTGGGAAAATCTCTTATAGATAATTAAGGAAGATAAAATCCAGATGGTCTTTTCTTTGATCATCTGCTAATCTGTATCCTAAGTATGTGATTGAAAAAGAGAAGGAATTGATCAGCAGAAGTTCAAATCCCTACTGAAAAGTGATTTCTGAATATGTCGCTAACAAAGAATGCATCAGGGTAGTTTCCCCCCATGACGTAAGCTCTTATACTTTTTATATAAATAAGTTTATTTTAAGATGGGCTGCCATGTAACAACAAACTAGATGAAGGCTGCCCTCTGCCTTTGTTGTGTCTTTGTTGCTGCCATCCGTTGGCTTAAGAAAGACTGCAAGTTGGCCCACTTTAAGAAATTCGTTTCCAGGTCAACGTATTCTTGGCTTAGCTTGCAAAATTACTCTTTTATTAACCTATCTGAAAATTATGAGTTGGCCTATTGAGTAAATGTGAATCCATGCAGGCCTTGACCCCGTGCGGTCAGTGAAAAAAAGCTAGGTTTCTCGACTACCTTTGTTCAGTTGAACAGACGTGCATTTTAGCTAATCAGAATCTTATTTATGAAATCTTTTGGTCTCCTTGGTTTGGCAAAATGCGCCCCTCCCGCTCCTGTTAACTCGATGGCTGGGTCAGATTCTGCTGCTGTGCTGGGAACAGAACTGCCTCTTGTTCTCACCAATGCCCTCGTCAAGAAAGCATCGGGCGTCCTCTTCTCCAGCTGCAACAGGATTACGTGATGTAATCTGCTCCCAAAAGTTTAAAAAAAGAAATCAGAAATGTCATAAGTCATCCTTCTGTATCAGGCGAAGGGGTTACAAAGGACTTCGAAATTGTTTGTCTCCTGCAACTGTTCTGGTGTTTCGTGCAAAATATTATGGGCTGGGCAGGAAAACAAGATTTTCTCCTCTAGTCTGTTCTCAGCTAAACGAGGCAGATACCGGTAGGAAGAGTAGCTATGCTAAAACTCTTGTTCCTTCATGGAACTCAAGCTTGACAAGGACTGTCCATCAGAAGCAGACCTGGTTAGTTTTCAACAAGCCTGCATGCTTTAGGAAAAAAACATTGCTTTATTTTTCCCTGCGGTCATTTTCATCCCTCATTTCCTTGCTGAACTTCAGATTTTCTTGGCACGCCTGCTTTTTATGCTCACTTTGTGAGTCCTCAAAGCCGGACTCAACAAAGTTCTATCTTATCTATCTCAGTTAATGCTTTGGGTAACTGGGCCCCTAGTGTTGAAAGTATATCCTGGTTAATAGTGCCCTCTGTATACCCTATATAGCAGTGTTTTCTCAGCATTGGCACCTTGAAAATATGTGGACTTCAACTCCCATAATTCCCCCCAACCAGCCTTGGGGATGTTGGAAGTCCTGGGAGTTGGAATCCACACATGTTCACAGTGCCAACACTGAGAAATACCGCTCTAGATTTGCTGTAGCAGATGAGCAGAAGGTAACATCTGTGCCTTTGGCTCCTAGGAAGAAATTCCTTAAAGGAAAATGCAAATAGTGGCTTTATTCTCATGAAGGTGTGGTTGAAAAAGATTTCTTTTGAACGCCCTCCAAATCCTAATTGTGCCTTTTATTTCAGTACTTTAGTTGTGAAGCAAAAGCTGCCGGGAGTCTATGTTCAACCTTCTTATCAGTCCGCATTAAGTAAGTCTGACATTCCTGGTCTGTTTCCCACCAAACACAGATATTTCAGTGGCTCATTTTCTTACCCTCTTTTTTTTTTGAACAGTGTGGTTTGGAGTAATATTCATAAGACACGGGCTATACCAGGACGGTGTGTTTAAGTTTACAATCTACATCCCTGACAATTATCCTGATGGAGATTGCCCAGTAAGTAGCCCCTGTGGGATGAATCCTGAATATTATTGAACGTCTCACTGACCAGCCTGAATATTCATGTTGTCTCAGTTGAAAGTACAGGAAGAATGCTTGCGTTTATTGTATTCTTTATTGACGGGCAGTATCCTGTCCTACTCTTTGGCCAAAGAAATGCCGAAATCGGCTTACCTCTGGCTCTTGAAAAGGACATCTCTATACGTGTTTCCATGCTGAATGACCCAGCATAAAAGGAAAAAGGGATGCGGAGAGAAGAAGAGGAAAAATGAGGTGGTTTGAAGAGTAAACTCGGATAACAATTCCTAAAATGTAATCACGGCTTCTGCGGACTGGAAACTTTGGGGAGAGTGGAGATGTGACAGAGTAACTCTATAAATCACTTTTGTGCACGTATAAATGTTGTTGGGTGGCATCTGAAGAAGGGAAAGTCTGGTGGAGCTGATCTTTCAGTAGAATAGATAAATAGGAGATAAGCAATAGCCTTTCCAAGCTATAATTTTATTTAGGAAGCAGGCGAATAAGCTATCTGCGTCAAATGTTTTCCTGTTTATAAAACACTTGGCAATGCTCAATAAGGGAGTGGGCTACATATACTCTACATTACCTAAATAAATAATTAGATATTAGAGACATAGAAATAATGGCTTACCTAAGCTAGGCCAATTTTGTAAACTGGTGGATGAGGTGAGATTTGAACCCGTGATCCTGTATCCGAGCTCATGAATATAGTTAAGATTAGGCCGCTATTCTATTGAAAGCCTTAAGATTCCCAACCCAGAAACTTACTAGTTAATCCTTGCTGAGACTTAAAAGCATTCTCAGTTCAGGAATTTGTTCTGCATGCTAGCCTCAAAGTATTCCTACAAAAATCTATCCTTGTTTATTTGGCGTGTTCTTCATCTTAGGGTGGGCAAAAGGACAAATGTTATTTTTCTGCATTTAATTATTAAGAGTCAGAAATCCTGGTGGATTTATTGCCGTCTGCCAAAAGATTCTGATATTCTCTGCCTTTTATCGTCACACGGCGTGAATTTTAAAACTCCTAGTTACCTGTAACAAGTCTGGCTTTTCCGGTGGGGCCAAGTCCAAACCTATTAATAAGAATATTTTGAAGTCACCCCACAACAGATGGCAGCCACTTACCTTCCTTCTTGCGTCGCGTAACAATGAAATGCATTATAGTTTTTCCCCCTTAGTTCCTGAGCTTACAGCACTGCCTTGTTTACCATTTCTGGGTTGACTCTGGCAGATCTCAAGGGACCAAGAAATCCAGCCAAACTCGGAGATGTTTATGGCAGCGAAGTTATTGTCAAAATGTCTTTAGCTTCCTGGAACTTCTTTGCTGGGAAAATTAAATACCTTTTAATTTAGAACAATATTGGGCAAGAACCAAGCCTTATGTAAAACATGAATAACTTAAAAATATAATTAGAAGAGTTTGGGACAATAATGCATCTAAACTTTTTTTTTAAAAAAAATAATACTGTAACTCAACTCGTGACCGAATTATTGCATAGTCGTCTTGTGGAGCTAAACTTTTAAAAAAGTAATTCAGGATTTGTGAGACGCACTTATGCTTTAATTGAAATTTGATTCACTGGAAGGGTAAATATATTTGCATGGAAGAAATTTTGGGTGCACTGGCGCAGGCTATTTAAATTAGAGATACAATTAAAAAGTAATACCAGGACACCAATGTCCCAGTTGCCAGAGTGCAGGCAGGACTCCAGGGAGCGGCTGCTTCAGTTTATTGCCGATTTTCCTATTAATACAACTAGGATACGTCATAGCAGGTGGCAGTATCTTAAGATAAGATAAGGAGGTTTCTACTTGGAAGGAAGCCATCAGGAATCCACAGGGTTGTGGGCTAAATTGGGAAGACAAAATCTATCTATCTATCTATCTAATCTAATCTATCTGAAAATAAGTCTTATCCCTCATTTTCCAGGAAATGAGGGATAAGACTTATTTTGGCTTATCGATCATGCTGCCCATCTCGCCCAAGACGACTCTAAAATATTCCTGCCTCTTTTCTCCACACCCTAAGGAAAATCCGGGATCAATTCCCAAACTCTTAAGAACTCCTCGATTTTGTGTTTACTCACAAACCACAAAAATACAATTTTGTGGATTTGATTGCAATCTGCTCAAGAGTGCACTTGTCTAGGAAACTAGTTAATGCCTGACTGGGTCGCCATTTAGCGAAAGGCAGCACAATAGCCTGCTGAGAAATTTTAGTCCCTAGGGTTGACATTGATTGATTGGTTATACATGCCATCAAACTGTTCTGGCCTCTTAGCAATAAGCACATGGATAGATTTCCTCTTTGATGAGGGCTGAGCTGGCCTTTCGAATCTTCCAACAGCACATTTCTTAAAGGCTCAAAAACAGTCCAAAAGGGCTCTTAACAGCCAGTGTGCAACATGACCCTTGCACCTAATAATTGTTTATTGTGTCATGCACACAAGAACCTTTCCTCTGATGAAGGAAGGAAACTTTTTTTGGGGGAGAAAAAAAAAAGCTGGCTCCTTTGAATGGACTTCGTAAACCAATCTGCCATGTTTGGCATCGGTGTTTCTCTCTCTTTTTTTCCCCCCCTTCAGCGCTTGATTTTTGATCTGCCCATTTTCCACCCGCTGGTGGATCCTGTCTCAGGTGAACTGGACGTGAAGAGAGCATTTGCCAAATGGAGGTGAGAGGGATGGGATGGGTCTAGGACCTCGGTATTGAGCAGAGAAAAATGGGCCTTTGATGAGGCCTCTCACCTGCCTTTCCTTCTCCTAAAGGCGCAATCATAACCACATATGGCAAATACTGATGTACGCGCGCAGAGTTTTTTACAAGATTGACACAACTAACCCTCTCAACCCTGAATCTGCTGTGCTGTAAGTTCTTTTTCTTTGGGGGGGGGGGAGAGGAGGTTAGAAACTTCTCTGAAAGCTGCAGTCCATCCTATAAATTATTTTTGAGTATAGCTTTTTTCTTAAAAATGCCTGAAGCCAAATGCCACTGGTTTATTTCCACTAACCACGGTAATGTATAGTTATGCCTTTTTTTTTAACCCTGTCAAACAGAACCTTCAGATTTCTGGGTATTATGTTTATATAAAGCAAATTTTGTGGCGGGTAAAATGCGCAGTAAATCTGCTTCTGGGTTTTTGTTTTTTTTTTAAAGACATTTGGTAGAAAGCTTCCGTTCCTTCCAGGAGCGTTCTAAGATGCGTTCTTTTCTCTTTCACTTCTTAGGTATGAAAAAGATATTCAACTCTTCAAGAGCAAAGTGGTTGACAGCGTAAAATTATGCAGCAGTCACCTATTTGATCCCCCCAAAATTGAAGACCCCCATGCAATTAGGTAGCTTAAGAGTAGTGATCAAGTCACATGATGTTATTTGGGACCAAGTACAGACAGTTCGCATTTAGCAAGAGCCTCAGTTGACGGTTCAGCTACGGCGGTGATGGAAAAGTAATGCTGTGATCTGTCCTTGCAGTTATGACCCCCACAGATCTGTAAAGCCATGGAAGCTGTTAAGGTTTCACGTAGTGACCACTCCACTTAATGGCCAAGTTACTAATTCCATTTTGGAATTAAACGAGAACTTCCTTTTATTTCTCTTAACCCGATGTAGATTTAGGCTCTCTAGTGTTTACAAGCCCATGCAAACTGGAGGGTTTCCCCCCCCAATAAATTACATTCATAGATGTCCTGTGTGGCACCCAAAAAAATATTGCCAAGTTTTTAATTCTTAAGACATTGTAAATGTCCAGTAGACGTGCTTAGGACAATGGTTATTTAATTTTCATGTTTTACCTCTGCTGGGCTACTGTATTTCCATTGAATAGATGTTCTGCCTTTAGCTTTGAAAACGTGGGAAGCCTGAGTGACATTTTGCTTGCGTCTTGCAGCTTTTCTCCCTGGAATCCAGCTATACACAATGAAGTGAGAGAGAAGATGTTGACTCAGAAGGTATGGAAGAAAGATATATCTTATTTTATAGAAATGGGTAAAAAGTAACGGGGAGAAATACGTCCTATTGCATTGAAAGAAACTGAGGCAAGCTCCTTACGCTGAACGATAACCAAGCAGAAAGGTCCTTGTGTAGCCTTGTTGTGAGATAAGAGACAGTGTTGGGGGGGGGGGGTTTGTACATCTTTGCACAGTGGGTAGGATGAAACAATGGCTAGAAAAGCACATGGTTGCACATTGCTTAAACCAGGGTTGTCCATCTTTAGCAACTTCAAGACTTGTGGACTCCAACTCCCAGAATTCACCCAGCCAGCATAGCTGGCTGGGGAATTCTGGGAACCGAAGTCCACAGCTCTTAAAGTTGGCTGGGGAATTCTGGGAATTGAAGTCCACAGCTCCTGAAGTTGGCTGGGGAATTCTGGGAGTTGAAGTCCACAAGTCTTAAAAGTTGCCAAGGTTGAGCATCCCTGGTTTAAACCATATTTTGATACTGAAGCTGCAGAGAAGTTAAAGCATTGAACTCTTGAAGGATCCAGCTGCATTGTGGATTACTCAACTGAGCAAGGATGGGCAAGTCTCTTTCGGGGTGGGTGGTGGTGGGGTGTTTCTTTAGAAGACAAAAGAACTTGCCAAAGACGACAAAATGACCAAGTTCGCAACAAAAGCTGCTCCCCCCCCCTTTTTACGTTTCGTCCTAGAAGAAAGGAGATGACCAGCAAGGCAAGAATATGCAAGTCTCCGGCCTGTCCTGGGTGAAGCCGGGCTCCGTTCAACCGTTCAGCAAAGAAGACAAGACTCTTCCTACTTAGCTACCGAAAAGGATGAAAACACTCCCAAACACTTTTGACCGGAAGGAGGAACGTAAACAGAGCCCAACAGCAAAAACTGTGGTTCTCCTTCTTGACTTTGGATTAGTAAAAGAGTAAAATGCTAGCGACGACTAAAGGAACCCTGTACAGTGGGGTTTACTTGGGCTCTTCTTGATGTTTTACGTGGGTTTTAATTGCAGCCGGCAAGTAGGTTTTATAAGGCCGGGCTTCTGTAGGGAAGCCCGTCGCGTGTGGGTAAATGAATGGCTCAGGATTTAAATGTAGCTTGAGGTTCTCAATGGGTTCCTTTTTAAAGTTTTTTTTTTTAATGTAAAGAATCAGGCCAGAAAAAACTCATTCCAGAGATAATCTGTGTTTGTGTAAACTAATATAGCAGAGTAAAATAACTATATTTAAAAACTTTTAAATGCATTGGTTTCTATTGTAAATATATTAGGATGTGGAATTTGTAAATACTTGGTTCCAATTCCTTCTAGCCTTGTTAGGGGCAGAAAGGCCGAGACTGATTATGTATTATGTGTACCGATTTATTTTTTTTTTCCCCTTTTCTCCTTTACAGATGTTGCCATTCCTGGCTGCTTCTAACATAACCTGTCCCATAATCTTTAGGGCTACAACCAAATTGCCTGCAAGAATCATATAGGAGAAAAGATTTTACTGCAGAGATTTTACTTAAGTAGAGAACTCTCTCATTGTGATAGTTGCATGCATCTTAACTCAAATAGCCTAAAGATGTGTGGAAGTAATATTAGAGGCAGCCCTAAATAGTACGTTAGTCAGGAAAGGTGAGGGTTTTTAATGAAAAAAGAATCAAAATCCTTTAGAGTTCTTGGTTTTAATAAAATCTTAAAAGAGAACCTAGCCTAGGTTGACTTAGGAATCATGCTTGAGATGGCTTGACTAATGTGTTAATAGTGACATCTTAAAAAAAAAATAAAGACCAATCATGGCAGAAAGTCTGTGTTGTAGTTTTCTTCTTTGGGTAAAATATTTGCAAATTAAGTACGAGTTCTTTGGGATTCTGATTTGTCAATTATAGTGAAAACTCAAGGCCATTTAACAGAAAAGGGCTTCTATTATGCCCCCAGTCTGTTAAATCAGGAAATACACCATTTGTATAAGGGTATCAATAGGTAAATTTAAGTGTATCTTGATGCAAGAATGACTGGATGGGAATTTTGAATCCAAAGTCTACTAAATGCAGGAAAGATTTCAGTGTTTAACTATGGCTTAATCTACGGGACACAATTGTTTTTTTTCCTCTTTGGAGAAGCTAGGCTAGGAAGAAGCAGAGCTGCTGATAGTGCCTGAAGGCTGAATTAGCAGGTTTTTTTTTTTTTTTGAAATCAGACTTTTGGTTTTGTTCCTTTATAAAACTTATCAATCACACAAATGGGCTGAACTTACAGGCACCAAAACATGCCCTATTTCACGACCCTGTCCCTGCCTTGATTTATGTCCAGTCAATCATTTCATAAAGCTAAAATCCCTCCTCCAATGTCTACATTGAGATCTCTTGGAGCAATTTTAAGAGCAGCACAGATCTGTTCCAAACGCAATCCAGGCCATAAAGCTCTGCACAACACTAGCGATACTGAACAGGATCGTTATCAGTCTTCAAAGTGATTGTCCAATTGCCCAAACACCATTTTTCACTTCTCTACACACTCATTTGATCTTTTATGGGGTAAAAAAAAATGGAATTTTTCAGCATGTATTAGGAACCACATGAAAGCCCCAGTCCAGAGGCGGAACACACATTCTTTGCATGCAGAGTGTCTTGGATTTAATCCACAGCACCCCTAAGAAGGCCAGGAAATGGTTTTATTGCATGCTAGTGAACCATTGTGATCACAAATAGACAGCTAGGCTAGGTGGGGGCCGGTTCAATAAGAACAGGTTTTTTTTTCATGTTCTACATCATTCTTCCTGACCTCCATTTAAAGCAGTTAAACGCTGCAATGGACCAAAAAGCTGCACCGATAATCCAGGATGGCCGGTCTTTCCCTCGTTTTGAAAAACACCAGTGGGAAGACACAACCAACTGCCATGATAAAGCTAAGAAGCTGGGAAGGCTAACAGTCCTGTCTTAAATATTCACACACGAGAGTTCAGTCTGACTTCTGTGCACTTCCAGAATAAATATAATTCAAGCAGTTTAACACAGCTTTTCATCTTAGGGTTTGCTATTTAAAATATATATATATATATATATTTCAAAAGTGCCATTGCCAAGGTTGCAAAACTCTTAATTTGCATTTCAAAATGTTTTGGGAACTAGTGAAGTGCTACCTGCTGATAGGAGATGACTTGAAACATTGCAGAGCTAAAATACAATGAAAGTATGGTATATATACATAATATTCCCGTATCACCTGAAGGGCATAGAAGGAAAGGAGAGGAAAGGGAAAAGAGAGAAGAGAGGAGAGGAGAAAAGAGGAGAGGAAAAGGGAGGGGAGGCTTAAATCTTCCCATCCTCCCCTCCATTTCAATTTCTGGTCTTGTCTCCAGTGTGCTTTAACTACTGCCTGACAAATGTGCTAGAATCTTCACTCCTAATTTAAAAGGAGGTTCACAGCAGTTCGAAACTGGGTCAGATAATTAGTTACAGAACTGATTCTATCACTGCTGACTGCCTCATTTCCAAATCCATTGTTAAAATACTGCCGATTCTAAACATGACACTGGATGAGATCCAATTAGCTAAAAAAAAGAAGAAAGAAATGTTAATGGGCTAATGTAAAAACGTACTGGTCTTCCAGTTCTGAGTTTAAAACCAACCCCTTCTACCAAATAAATTAAAAAGGATGTAAACAGCATCCATCGATGCTTTATGGGATACATCCAAGCAAAGCTGGTGTGACTCGCAGCGTGGCTGGCAGGAAATCCTTCTTCTTCTCAAACTTTCCAACTGTCTTTGAGCAGAAGACGTCAGTGGTATAAGCAGAAGATTCCTCTTTTTGATGTCAGGAGCATCAGATTAAAAAAAAAGTACTTCATTTCTGCCCCCAAAGTGCCTTGGAGATGTGGAAGTCACAGCTTCTATTATTACTGGTCAAAGTCCAGATAGCAATTTAAAAAAATTCTCAGTGAGTCTTTGACATCAGTGAGAGCCCCTGTCGTTTGCCACATCTTGTAACCTTCTCAGAAGGGCTGTGTGGTTTTCCGGGCACATGCGCTTGGCTGGTGATTCTGCCCCCTCCTCTAAGACGATGCCCCTCTTTTTCGTGGAGGTCTCGCCAGTTCTAATCATGCTGTTAATCTCTTCAAGTCTCTGAAACATGCAATGAGCAAGAAAAACTGGTCATTTTTTTCCCCCTCCTGAAAATCCAGCTGCAAATAATAATCTCTTTGTTGCTTGTTTAAACCACTGACATCACGTTGAACTTCAGTACTTGTAATCCCCATTAAGCAACATGGCTGAGGTTACTTCAGGTCCCTACTCCGTAAATTAATATTTCAAGATTACATCTCAAATCCCCACCGTTCAAATAGTACCTTTTTTGTCTCAATCATTGGACTCATTTTTAAAGAGGCTCCAATCAACATTCATCCTGAACAAATACAGCCTTGGAAAAATATTAAATACTTGAATAATACGACCGAGAAACAAAACTTTGCATTTTGTCTTCCAAATATTTTCCCTCCGTGTGTGTGTGTCATATAAATAATGACGTTCATTGGCAATCTAGTCAGCCATGAATATTTAGAAAGAAAAAGGATATACAGTTTGCTAAATCATGTAAGTTACTGATTTATTAAAATGACATATCAGATTTCAAAATAGTTAATGGGTAATAGCACCACTGAGTAATCAAACAGCAGCTCTTACCTTAGATGGGCTGCTGCTAAAATAGTAGAATATTTTCTCACGCCGAGAAGTTGCACATTCATTTTTGTGGGGGGAAATGTAAATTGGGTGGTTTTGAGACAGTTGGATTCTGCGTGGAGAGCCGCTTCTCACAAATGGATATGGAGACAAGGGAGGAACGTCAGTCTGATGCAGAAGAGCAATAAAATGTATGTACAGTTAACAAGCAAGCACAAAAAAAGAGAGCAGAATGCATTTGGCAACTTAAAGCACCACAACACATCCATTTAATTTTTACATTAATGGTCCTGAGCAATTTGGATATTCTATATGAGAATTATAACAAGTTTTCAGAGTTATCAGTTTTAAAAATTTAGCCTACGGGATACAAGAATTCCCTGTGTCAAATACAAGATGGTTCCATTTTGTTGTAAAGGCAGATGATTTAGCTTTATTCGTCTTTAAAATTTATTTGCAACAGACTTAGGTTTAAGAGAGCCCTCTTCTTTTAATTTCCAGTTTCTGCCCAGATCACAAGTCAATATCCAAGCATCTACCCAAAAATAATTGTGTGTTTTTTTTAAAACAAGCAAAATATTATAATGGCAGGACAACCTGAGTATCTCCAGTTGCTAATCAGACAGGTAGTAGCTTAGCTATTCCCAAGAAGGAAGGCAAAAGGGGTTACTTACTCCATTGGCTGAGGAGTACTTCAGGGCGAAGTCTTTGATCCGGTCTGTGTAGACATTATTATAAAACTGAATCAGGTCTCCACGCTCCTCTTCCTCAGTGTCACTGCTGGCTCCGGTGAGTCGCGTTGGGGTAGGAGGGGCGCTACTAGGCTGTGGGACAGGCAGCGTGCTACTCGACCTCATGACTGGGCTGGAATCTCGGCTTGCTGCAAAGACAGATTGAAATGCACCGAGTCGGACAGTTTTATGAAACCAGTGTTTATTCCGGCCTTTTTTCTCTTTTTGTCTAGCTTTTAAGGCAGCAGGTGAGAAAGTGGTAGACCCTACGTCTTTGGGCCAGTCTCCAGGAGACTGGGAGTTCTAGTCCCTCCTTAGCCATGAAAGCCAGCTGGGTGACTTTGGGCCAATCACTAGGTGAGTTCTTGTCCCCCTTAGGCCTGAAATCTGGCCAGGTGACTTTGGCCAATCACCAGGAGACTGTGAATTCTAGTCCAGCCTTAGGCATGAAAGCAGGGCCAGTCAATCTCTCTCAGTCCAACTCCCTCACAGGGTTGTTGTTGTGGAGAAAACAGGAGGGGGGAGGTGTGTTGGATATGTTCGCCACCTTGGAGGTATTTGCAAAAATAATAAAGGCGGGATACAAATAAAAGAAATGAATAAAAAGTATTCTTCCTTCTTAAAAATATCCTGCAGGGATTTATCTTCTCTCTGCTAACGCTTCGTCAGCGATGTCCTGATGAAGCTCAGTTCCTGTCGCTCATGGCCTTTGTCTGAAATTGATGTGTTGTGTTCCCAAAGGTTCAGTAAACAAGGTCCCTTTTTCCAAATGTACTTTTGACATGACATCTGTACCCAGGAACGGAGGTGTTTTGTCTAAGCACTAAATCTACC